TCTCTTTTTTTTACATTTAAATACAATTAAAAAAAAAAAAAAAAAAAAAAGAAGACGATGTCTTTGGTACTAATGTACAGGCAGAGCTTAAATAGATATTTGTTTTTCCTGAATCAAGAGTGAAATCAGTTTTGTAGCATTCTTTATTAAAAATACTAATTTCTGTGGGCACTGTGAATTGTCTCTTTAGCTACCAGTGCTGAAATTCACCAAGATGAGTTCTCTGAAAGTGTTGATCACGGGTTGCCTGGATTAGGCACATTTCTAGCTTTATGGTTACTGCAGTTGCCCTGGCTTCGATAATTATACAGTCCTTGTTTGGAGCCAGGGGGGACATTCTTTGGCTAGAGTGCATGATAGCATCATATTCCTTGTGAAGTCAAAAAGTTCAGTGATTGAACTCTTGGGGTTTTAAATGTCTAAGTACATTTGTCAGGCTCAAGTGCCCAATTTTAAACCCTTTATTCCACAACATTATGATGCTTTATGAATCTCCCCTTTTTAAAGGAAGTTGACTTGATACCCATTTTTAAATTTGTCTTAGGTTTAGAATTTGTATCAGATCTCTTAAAGTCTTACAAAGCTGAGACTTCACCAGTTCCAGGACAAAGATGAAAGCAAAGAAAAATTAAAGGTAGTACCAGAGTCCAAACCCTCAAAAAAGTGCAGATTGTAGAGACATTGGTGCTGCATCCTGCTCTGTTGTCTCTCATGCCACTGGAGATAACTGTAGTTTGTATGAACGTTCAGTAAATGTTGGCCCACCCAACAATTACAAGAGTAATTGCAAAATGTGTTATCTTTATTTTATCTCAAGTTCTGAGCGTATTTGAAAAACAACATGAACATGAAAGAGGATGATCCTGGGAATAAGTCATTGGAATAAACCCAACAAATGCTGGATTCTCATGACACCCCCCACAGATTTGAGGATAGAAGTGAGGACAGGAAAACTCATTTTAATCTCTGTCATGGTTTAACCCCAGCAGGCAGCTCAGCCCCACTAAGAAAATTAACTCTATTCCAGCCAAAACCAGTACGATATCCTAGGCTGGAAACAAATAACTAAGTCAGCATTAAAGCCTGAGATCATGAACTTTTCATGGTAGGCATTTTTGCTTTATGCCCAGGATAAAGCAAGTGGAGCCTGGATTCTTAACAAAATAACATTAATTCTATTTATATTCAAAACAGGAAACACTGCATGTGCTATTTCTATTTTGGCACTGAACATATAGTATAATTATGCTTTTATTAATCAGTGCTAGAAACACTCTCTTCAACATCTATTTCAAGTGTAAGGTTTGGGTTTTTTTTCCAACAGAAATACTTGCCAGGGTTTAGTAATTCAAGATGAGTATGTCGTGTATTAGAATTCTGTCCTATAAGCAATGTCTGATTTTCTTTAAAGATATTTTTTCTGTCTCTGCATTGATTATTGATTTATTAGTGGGGAGGTTGTCAGAAAACTAATTTGTTTACATTCTACATGTTTACATTTCTAAGTATATAAGGTAAATTGGTCTGGAATAGAGAAAGATATTTTGTTTATTTCTAAGTCATATTCTTTTGATATCCATTTGTTGGTTTTCTTTATTTTTTTTATCTGTGATGCTTTTACTAGAAACACTGTAAAAATCAAACAAGAATAAATCCCTACTATCTTATAGGAGGTGGTATAAAGTACAATAGTAGAAGAGCAGAAGAGTAAAAAAAATCCTGGGAGAGAGGAGAAATTGATAAGCTGGTGTCATTTCCTACTTGTTTGTTGTGAAACTTGTTCTTTGCAGCACAGGGCATACAAAGAAATTGGTTTTAAAAGCCTTGAAGAAGCTGAATACTCAACAGTGTGGGCTATTTCACAGTGGCTGGTTTGTTTCCTTGGTGAGGGAGACTGGTTGGAGCAGGGTGCACTGCTGTTGCTCTGTATTTTCCATTAGACTAGGCTGCAGAAAGCGTTCTCTTCAGAGGGAGCTTACTTCAGCAGCCAACAGCATTGGGGATTCCCTTTGCTAAAGGAAATAGCCAGACAGATTACAGCAAACATATCTGGCTTTCTGATACATTTTCCAGAAGTCATCTTGGAAGCTGCTGGCCTTAGGAGCAGACATGGTCCAATAAAATAGCTCACTTGGTCCATTCTATGCACCACATGTTGTAGTGGCCTAGAACTGTAGAAATATGTCCACATAAATTGAGGAGACAAATCGAAGTGAAGTTACTGAGATAGAATCACAGAATCATTGAAAGGTTTGGGTTGGAAGGGATCTTCAAAGATCATCTAGTTCTGCCCCTCCTGCCATGGGCACCTTCCTCTAGACCAGGTTGCTCAAAGCCCCACCCAACCTGACCTTGAATGCTTCCAGGGATGGGGCATCCGCAACTTCACTGGGCAACCTGGTCCAGTGCCTCACCAACCCTCATAGTAAAGAATTTCTTCCTTATATCTAATCTAAATCGACCCTCTTTCAGTTTAAAGTCATTACCCCTTTCCTATCACTACATGCCCCTGTAAAAAGTCCCTCTCCAGCTTTCTTGTAGGCCCCCTTCAGGTACTGGAAGGCTGCTATAAGGTCTCCCCGCAGCCTTCTCTTCTCCGGGCTGAACAGCCCCAACTCTCCCAGCCTTTCCTCATAGGAAAGGTGTTCCAGCCCTCTGACCATTTTTGTGGCCCTGCTCTGGACTCTCTCCAAGAGGTCCATGTCTTTCCTGTGCTGAGGGCTCCAGAGCTGGAAGCAGTATTCCAGGTGGGGTCTCACCAGCGCAGAGTAGAGGGGCAGAATCACCTCTCTTGACCTGCTGGTCATGCTTCCTTTGATACAGCCCAGGATATGATTGGCCTTCTGGGCTGCAGGCGCACGTTGCTGAGTCATGTTGAGCGTCTCATCAACCAACACCCCCAAGTCCTTCTCCTCAGGGCTGCTTTCAATCCATTTTCTGCCCAGCCTGTATTTGTGCTTGGGATTTCCCCAACCCATGTGCAGGATCTTGCACTTGGCCTAGTTGAACTTCATGAGGTTCGCACAGCCCACCTCTCAAGCCTGTCAAAGTCCCTCTGGATGGCATCCCTTCCCTCCAGCATGTTGACTGCACCACACAGCTTGGTGTCATCAGCAAACTTGCTGAGGGTGCACTCAATCCCACTGTCCACATCACCAACAAAGATGATAAACAGCACTGGTCCCAATACTGACCCCTGAGGAACGCCAGTTGTCACTGGTCTCCACATTGACTGCAACTCTTTGAGTGCAACCATCCAGCCAATTCCTTATCCACTGAGTGGTCCATCCCTGAAATCCATGTCTCTCCAATTTGGAGACAAGTATGTCATGCAGGACAGTATCAAATGCTTTGCACAAGTCCAGATAGATGACAACAGTTGCTCTTCCCTTACCCGCCAACACTGTAAGCCCATAGTAGAAGGCCACCAAATTTGTCATCACCAACAAAGATGATAAACAGCACTGGTCCCAATACTAACCCCTGAGGAACGCCAGTTGTCACTGGTCTCCACATTGACTGCAACTCTTTGAGTGCAACCATCCAGCCAATTCCTTATCCACTGAGTGGTCCATCCCTGAAATCCATGCCTCTCCAATTTGGAGACAAGTATGTCATGCGGGACAGTATCAAATGCTTTGCACAAGTCCAGATAGATGACAACAGTTGCTCTTCCCTTACCCGCCAACACTGTAAGCCCATAGTAGAAGGCCACCAAATTTGTCAGGCACAATTTGCCCTTAGTGAAGCCATGTTGGCTGTCACCAATCACATCCTTATTTTCCATGTGGCTTAGAATAGTTTCCAGGAGGATCTGCTCCATGATCTTGCTGGGGACAGAGGTGAGACTGACTGGCCTGTAGTTCCCTAGGTCTTCCTTTTCTCCCTTTTTAAAAATGGGACTTGTTTCCCCTTTTCCAGTCAGTGGGAACTTCACTGGACTGCCACAACTTCTCAAATATGATGGATAGTAGGTTAGCAACTTCACCCGCCAGTTCCCTCAGGACACACAGACGCATCTTGTCAGGTCCAACAGACTTGTGCACATTCAGGTTCTTTAGATGGTTTCAAACCTGATCTCCTGCAGCGGGTGGTTCATCATTCTCTCAGTCCCTGCCTTAGCCTTCTGTGACCCAGTAGTAGATATCCAGTACCAAGAAAAATCCACTGGTTTCTTTGTTGGAAAGAGCAGACAGACTCAAGAGGAAACGAGGCAAAGGTTAGACAAAAACCTTTTGGTTCTTCCTTTTGATAGAAATTAATTCTGAACTCAGATCCCATTGGTGGCATAATTTTATATACCCAGTAGTAAATAAAAGGTTCTGATGAGCATTTCAACTTGTATACCATCAGCCCTGCAGATTAAGTAAAACCAGAATTTTAGCAGGATGACTCAAAACCCCAATGCAGTATCTAAGAACCTGGGAAGAGTAGAGCTTCAAACTCATTTTGGTAATTATTATTGAGGATGTTGACTTTACCTGCTCAATACCTAGACAGAATAGTGACGGATGTTTGTTTTTATATGCAACTGCCACATTGTCTTCCATTAAAGGAGGTTACAGACTAGAAGTCTTATTGGAGACTTGTGAGATTGCTACAAGTACTGCTTTAGAGGGTCTGAAAATCAGAGTTCAAAACTAGGTGCTTCTATACACTTCCTCCCAGGTTTCTTTTGCAGTCTGTCCCCTTGCACTGCTGCCTTTGTGTAGCCTTTGCCCTGTCCTGGCTGAAGGGAAGATCGAGGGCTGTGTCAAATCTGGTAGCAAGGGAAGCGCTGGAGGTCTGTGCCCTTAATCCCACTGATCCTGTTTGGAAGAATTCTTGTCTTTCCCAACAGCTTGATAACCTTTCAAGTAAGTCACAGTTACAAGGAAAATTTAACTGGATCTGCCACTGTTGGATGTTGATACTGAGCTCTGCCTCTGCAAAAAAATGTTCAGGGGCTACTGGTAAAAGTTAATGTTGCTGAAGGCAGCGTTAATACCGTAAAACTTCGAGGTGACCAAATGGGAGGTAACCCTCAGAGAAGCAGCCCATTCCCGCTAGCTACTCTTTGGCCTTCCCAAAGCAAAATTGGCAACCTGGTGGAGGGTGGCTGCTCATGTGCTACACCTGCTTTTTCTGCATGGGTCTTCTCTGGCTTCTTATGTGAGTTTGCCTTTCCCACAGCAATGAAAGGAGTGATTTCAGTTTAAAAAAAGTCTATAAAATTGTATTACATTTCACGCTTAACAAAGAGTTCTAGTCAGTTATTTTGAATCTTCTCCTGTAGTTAATTACAAGGAAGGAAAAAAATACAAGCTCAGTCAGCAGGAAGACAGGTGTATAAATGTAATCAGATGTTATGCAAACCATTTGATACATTTTTAAGTACTAGTGGTTTGAATTCGTTTGACAAGCATGTAAAATGCAAATGATCCCACCCACACATTTTTAGAATAAATTAAAATACACTTAACCATATTTGTTAGTTCTTGTCCTAATAGGAAGCCTATGTGCTCTAAAGTATGTATGTGTGTGTATTTAAATGGTATTGTTATTCCACCTGCTCCGAAGCGGAATTCCAGCTGCTTTCTACCCACTGTTCCATTTTTCCAAATTCCTCCCCTTATTCTTTCAGGACTCAGTTAGATGGGTTTTTTTCATTTAAAAGTGAGCTTTCATTTTAAAATTTTTGATAAAACATTTTCCTTGTTTCAGGCTGAGATTTTCATGTAAAGGGGTAGTTTCTTCAAACTCTGCTCATTGTTCTCCTCGCGCTCTTTGAGCTACCAGAACAAGGGCTGAAAATCTGGCCAGATATATTCAAGAATTGAACAGAAAAGTGTCCCTACACTGTGTACATGGGTCCTTGTGTGCTTGAAATCACACAAATATGTATTAGCAGTATTTCTTTCCTAATATAAAGAAATGGAGTGCTCTGAAGCATTTCACTTTGATTTAATCATTCAGAGGACATTTGAAGCCTGATAACTATTTTGCATGCCTCGAGGAAGCCATATAATATAGCTGGTAGCACTGCTCCTAAATAGCTATGTGGAGAAGGGGAATAAACATAGGACATAAACTTCAGTGTTTAAATCCATCTCCACTCCTGCTTGTGACAGTCCTGTACACATAAAATATGTGAGATTTTATTTAGATATCACACAAACCCCCTCTTTCATGTTGATAAATATTTTTGATGGACTGGAGAGTTTAGATTTTAAATAATGTAAGTACTTAAGGCAGCATTCCAGAGATTGTCGCTGTCAGATTTAGGATTAAAATCTTATTCTCTAACTTTGTTATCCCCTTCCAAGTCCAGTATACCTTATGGCCCACAGTCCATACATCTCTACATCTTAAAAGACTAATAATGCTTTCACTCAAAGGAGGTTTGACCTGTATTTTGTTAATGTTTGCACAGCACTTTGAAAGTATTAATTGTATATAGATGCCACCTAATATTATTCCACTGTCTCTTTTAAGCCCCAAAGTGTGTAAAGGGTCAGAAAGGAAAATTGCTGAGTCAAGGAAAAACATCTTTTCCATTGGGTTTCCTGGCTGCTGGGAAGTGAGGGAGAGTATCTCAGAGTCTGTGCAGTGGTAAATTAAGACAGGTGAGGAAGAAGTGTGTCTAGCCAGAAGGATTTTGGGTCGCGAGAGAAGAAAGAGAAAATAAATGTTGAAGATGTAAACCTATGCAACATTTTCTCCCTTTTTTCAAGCTGAACACCACGCATTTTAGTGTCTTCAGGAGAGGCCTCTGGAAGAATCCCATGGTCATCCAATGCCTACAAGTAGATTTATTCCCCTGTAACTTCCCACCTTACTCTTTTTGCTCAACTTCTTTAACATAATCTCTTTTTAAAATTGTGAAAATTTACCAATTCCGGACTGCGTTTGAATTTCCTCTTTTTTTTAATTTTTTTTTAATGCTTAAGCCCCATCATCCCTTTTTTACCTGTTTCAGCTGTCATACTATGGACGCTTTAGAAAACAGAAGTAGCAATTTTCAAACAGGAGATCTTTAAATTTTGCTTTGTTCCTTAGAGCTCTTAAAATTCTTCAGACAGCTTATATGTGTTGCTTCACATATTGAAAAAAAATTCTCATCATTTTTTTCCTTGTCATCTGTATACACAAAGTGAAAGGTCAGCTGGATGGATTTATTATTTCATGCCTTCAAAGTTGTGGAATCTACATGTCTGTGCTGAAACTTCAGAAAATTTCATAAAGTGTAAGTTTTAAAAGAGTATGACACAATATGAGGAAACTTGTTACTAAGTGTTTATTCTGTTTAGAGTATGAGTGGTTTTGTTAAATATGGAGATGTTTATTTTTGCCATACAAAACCTCAGTAGACGTCATGACATAGAATCTTGTTAATTTAACTCAGGGTTTTGAACAAATCTTTCTTGTTTTATATATTTGTCTAGGTTGCTTTTACAGTTCTGTTTGATTTAGAAGCTCTCCTGAAGATCTGGTGTTTGGGTTTCACAGGATACATCAGCTCATCGCTCCACAAGTTTGAGTTGTTGCTTGTAGTTGGAACCACTCTTCATATTTATCCAGACCTCTATCACTCTCAATTTACATATTTTCAGGTATGATCAGCTACTTTTACATTTTACCCTATATACCCATTAAAAACATTACCTGTCAACATTTTGCTCTCATTTACTTCCATTCTCAGACTACTGATATTCTCACGATATTGACTCATTTTGAGAATGTTTTTTAAATAACAAATATGTCTGTTCTTAACTGTTTATTGGGTGGATTTACAGAAATAGGATTCTAACTTTGCTGAGAAGTCCTTTCTGTTTTCAGTAACTCCCATTTCTTATCTGAGCTACACTGTTCAGTAGGTTCTGGATTAGTTTATTCACTGTCCTTCATTCAGCCTTGACCTTGCATACAGCTGTTTACAGCATCACCTTCCTGTAATGTCAACCACTGCTTTCCTGGCTTCTGTGCCTGAGGCCTCAGTACACTTGCTGTTGCTTCTCCAAATCTTCATCTCTGTGGCAGTCACATGCCTAAGAGTCTCTGCTGCAGTTATTGTAAGTCTTCTGAAGTAATTTCTCCAGAATCATCATAGTGTTTGTTTTCATAGCTCTCCAGCCATTCCTTATTGAGAGAGAAAGTGTGTTTATTGGCACTTTTCCTACATTTTCACTTTGGGGAAGAGCAGGGAAGATCAGGAAATAGAGACAAAGAAAGACTGATTAATTCAGACTTGTGATGCTTCCTCTCTCAGCCAGTCCAACCAATTCCCCATTCATCCTCCTTGAAGTTCTTAGGGTTGCTCCAGTTGTGGGAGAAAGCTCTGAGATTCATTACAATGCGCTATATTCTACAGTGCTAAAGAAAGGGATTTTCTAAAAAAACATATTAAACAATTAATCTCTGTCCATTATTCAGCAATCAATTGGCATCATGGATACTTAATAATCAATAAAGGCAAATAATAAATTGTCAGAATCCTGTCAATAAATGTGATTAGCTATAGTGGCACGTATTGTAATCAAGTGAGTACAATATGGGAGGAGAAATCTCCCCACGTGTGGGTTGAAGCCTTTTCTGACTTCTGCAAATGCCATCCTATATTTTCTTCTAAACGGTTCTACAAACCTTCTCAAGAAAGCTTTCAGGATGACAAATTATGCTTTCACCTGGTATCATTTGAAGCCTTTTAAATCGTTTGATTTTGATGTCCAAATATGTAAAATGTTGTTATTCAATGTGGCATGATATTTCTCATCTGCAAGAAACGATGACCTATCAGGAGCGTGCCATTGCATTCTTGCATCTAAAGTACACAGGAAACCTAGATGGGAGCTCTCCGTTACAACAATTAGCAGCGTAGTTAATAGTTGATCTATATTTATTAGGGCAGAGTCCACTTACATCTGATGATTTCTTTCTAGGAATTTTAAATATAAATTATGAACATGTTGGACTAAATAGGTAACACCATCACTAACTCATAGGAAAGTATAATTAAAATGTAGCCAGATGTTGATAATAAAATAATGTCTTTTATTTTTAATGGATTTAATTAGTTTTGTGGGGTGGGGGTGGTTTGTTGGGGTTTTTTTTAGAAAAAGTGCTAGCTTTTATGACAGAAAATGCCAGGATGGGATTTTTTTTTTCCAAAATATATGAGAGACATACATTTTACAAGCAGAAACACCTGCTACACTGAAAGATTTGGGTTGTATTTTGCAATCCAAATCCCCTAAGAAGCAAATGACAGTAAGGTTGGAAAATACTTTACCTTTGATGTCAGTGTGTAAGGGAGCTATGCACTGTATTCCCCTGCAATTAAGCTTCTGGGCAAGCTAGATAACACATTTTCAAATCAACCAAGGTCAAAAAGTCTTTTTCACGTGGATACATCTTGGTGTTAGGCAGATTTCCAGGCCTTTAGGTATTAATGATGACAGGTTAAATGTGTTCCTTGTCAGCCAACAAAACAGATTATTGAATGTAGAAGTCTTATTTGACACATTCCAGGAGCAGAAATATCATTTGGCTTATCAAGTCTTCTTTAGCATATATTTCAGTCTGCATTATTCATTGGTCTTTATCATTACCTTTTGCCAGCACATCCTTTGCTCTTCACCACATTGATTACTGTCCACCCTCCCACCTATCTTTCTCACATTCATTGTACATTCATTCAAAACACTTTGCAAAGCCCCCTGTGAAAGACTACAGCAAGGCACTGTTCCATGGCTATAATCTATAGAACTCAAAATCAGTGAAGCAATGACAGAATTTGCGTATTATTGCAGAGATCTGTAATGAACCAGCATAAAAGGGACAGATTTAAACAGAATTTGACCTGTACTGTGCCGAAGAGATAGTACTTTATTTCTGCTTGGGAAAAATATTGCTGAGTCATTTCCTGAATAAATATTGACCCTTTTTGGAGGTGCAGCCATTCTTTGTAACAAAGCTCTGGTTTCTCTTTTGTATTTTTAATTTCGATTTGTTTTTTAACATATTTTTATATTTATTCCAAGTAGTGGACCGTCTGCAGCTCTTAAATTTAATACAATTTGCAATCCAATTGCATAGAATGCATAAATGTTCATTAGACTGTACTTTTGCTAGATTCAATTTGTCCCCTAATGAAAAATAAATGGAAAAAAAACCCAAATAGTATCAATAAGATTAGTGTGTTGCTTAAAGGTCAATTAAAGTTCCCCAAAGGAAGGGGAAAAAAAGTAAGGCAGATAATACAGTTTATCTAAAATACAACTCAGGATACCAACTAGCGTGAAATCTTTACCCTACTGGGGCCAGTGTCGAAACTAGTACTAAGGGGACCAGAGCTAGCATTTACACTGCAAGGAGGTCTTGTAAGTAAGAAGGCACCATATTTATATGTTCAGTACTTGGAAATCTCATTCTTCTCGCTCTCTGTCGCTGTCTTGGTAATCAGTTTCATGTACTCAGATTATATGTAATGTGACCACGGTACCAATGTGAAAGAAAGGACCTTGTTCTAATGTTTTGAAAGTTAAGCTGTCTAGTGTAACCTCTGTATCTCAGACCCTTTTTAACTACTGAATACAGTGAAGGCTTGTCCCATCTCACACAAGGAGTCTGGTGTGTGTTTGGAATAAGTTGTTCTCTTGAGTTGACTTTCTCTCTCTCCCTCCTTTGGCAGTAGAGCCTAGATGACTAGCATATTCTGCATATCTGATGGATAGCTAGGGAGATTAATTTCATGCAAAATGCAAAGGTGTACCTTATTAGCAAGCTACAAGGTACAGCGAAGTCCTTCTGTAAACAACTACCATATCCTCTCAAACTTCCTTTCTTTCTAAAAGCAGCACAGTAACTGTATTTGACTTGCACATCAGGTCAGCCTATAATTGCACTGTAATTCCTACCTTTCAGTTTCAATATGATTCTTGTGGAAATAAAGGCAATATCTTGGGCTACAGACTGTTTTTCTTCGTAAGAAGTGCAGAATCTCATTTGCCTCATATGCTCCTATCTATTGTCTCCAGCAACTGCTGTGGCTGCCACTGTCTCCTGTTGATACTGATGTTATATCACTGTCTGTGCCACCATGAGTGGCAGAAATAGGAGGATCAGAGCTGTCAGCAGCTTTTCCAAGGTAGAGTCAGCAGTGAACGGGTCAGGAGTTCCACACACGATCACAGTTCTGCTGCCACCACTAATACTGAGAGGTGTCAAATATGTCAGTAGCACACAATGCTGTTTCCTCTGATATTGAGAAATGCCACCCAAAATGTCCCTTGTTGTATGTAGTATGAGATAGAAAAATACATTCATTACCAAACTTCCTGGGTTATACGGTACACAGTGCCAAGCAATTTTGTCTTGGGTCACTGAAACAGAAAGATGACTTGAAGAAGAGTTGGCAGTTCTTTATGTGAATATGTAACCTGGTGTAACAAAAAACATAAAACCATACAAAAATCCAGGTTGGAATTTATCTCATCTAGCCTGCTGCTCAAAGCAGATCTTTCTTCAAAGACTGTTCAGGACCCTGTCCATTTAGAATAAGTATGAATTTTTAACAGTGATGATAATCAAACTGGAGCATTTTACCTAGCACTGCAATGGCTGCTAAAACTAGACTGATATTTCGAGCTCTGCCTGAAGCCTTTCTTATGTTTGGTAACACACTATAAACCTTCATTCGTCTGTAATTCCATGTTATATTCAGATTTACTGTCTGTGATGTGTTTTGCCTATGCCTTTGTTCCCTTTGTTACCTCCAAAACAGCTTCACCCAATTGCATTTCTGTGATGACTGTTGGTGACTGGCAAGTTGATTATAGCCTTGAGGGCCTTGAGTATCCTCCCATGCCTGTACTCTCAAGACCTCTGCTGTCATCCCATGCCTGTACACCTCGATGCTGTATCTTATGAAAGGGTCATAGATAGTTCATTTTATGCAAAATTACATCTTGTTATTACTATATGTTAGAAAAAAAAGAGATCTGTAACAGTAAGCATTGCACCACACAATCGTAAAAAGCCAAGCAAAAGACAAAGTAGGTTAACAGTTTCCTGGTCATTAGGTAACTTGTTACTAGCTAAAACAAAACTCCAGGCAGGCCAACATAAGCACAGATGAAGCCTGACAGGTTCCAGGACTTGTGTTCTTAACCTAACACATAACTTCTGGTCTGTTACAAGTGGTGGCAATGTGATATTTACAGGGCTGAAAGGCTGTAAGTCCCTTTTTGGACTTGAGCTCTCTCATCCTGTGAAAAGTTGGTGATTAATAAAATAATCAAATAACTAATCAGTTCTATTTTCTCTTTCTTTGCAGGTCCTTAGAGTAGTTCGACTGATAAAGATTTCTCCTGCTTTGGAGGATTTTGTGTATAAGATATTTGGACCAGGAAAAAAACTTGGCAGTTTGGTGGTATTTACTGCCAGCCTTTTAATTGTAATGTCAGCAATCAGTTTGCAGATGTTTTGCTTTGTGGAAGAACTGGATAGATTTACAACCTTTCCACGGGCAAGTATAAAAAGAATCAAAGACTTATTGCTTATTATGTTCTTATCATTGATATATCATGTTCATTATTGTATCAGCAGTCTTCCTTTCCTTCTAAGAACCACGGAGCAGTTTATCACCATATGCATAGATAAAAGAACTGTATTTTCTGGGTCGAACAGTCTTCCTGTATTCCTTCAGTAGTGAAGTTTGTCTTTCTTTGGGTTAGGTGTTCTATATCTGCTGTTGAGGGAACACAGACATTTTATGTATGCACGCTGATGATGGCACAACAAAGTATATGGCTTAACGGTAGTCTAGCATGCTACAGGAAGAGGATTCAAGTGCACAATCATGAATATTAGCCACAAAATGTGTATAAAACATGCCTACACATGATTTATATCTTCATATTATGAAAGTGTTTGTTCTTTATTTGTACAGGAATGTTTGTTTTACACAGGGTTTCAAAACCTGTCTGCATTGACAGAGTAAGTGTTTGCCTTTTAGGTATAAATAATGGATATTTATGGGCATTGTGTTAATTTAGAACAGAACATTGAAAATCAGTGGAAATTGGAGCTAATCTATTTATTGAAGCACACTGTCCTGAATGAAAATACTGCCATTTCTTTAATAATGGATTAGACTGAATGTACATGGATTGGTTCCAGTCACAATTTATTTGTTTCTGTCATTCCAGCTTGGTTATCCAATGTATCTATTTTAGTGAAAGTGCATTGGTTGGAACAATTAAATAACAATGAATAAGACAGCCTCAAGGGTCATGCATTTAGAAAACAAAATGGCTAGGCAAGAATTTGTAATTATCAACCTGGACTTGATGTATGGGAAGCTAGCCATCAAATGTAAGACAAAAAATACCTACCCACAGGGAATAATGGAACACCAGGCTTTCTATTTCAGAAAACATGTTTAGAAAAGCAGCCAGTAGGTTCATTAGGAATTCAGAATAATTCACTTTTTAAATGCTGAAGAAAGCAAAAAAAGTATAATAAAACTTAAGCTTTTCTAATGAAGTCAGACCTCTGCCTCTAAATTGAGTGATAGTACCACCAAATTTTATGCCCAACTCCCATGTATAACTTATGGAAAAAACTTCCATCTGCAAGATTAAAATCATCATGGAATTTGATTTTAGAAATATTTTTATTATTTATGCAAAATGGCAATTATATTCCTGAAATAATTATTGTAGTATAATTAAAATAAGACAAATTTACAACCACCTGCACATTTTAACTAGATAAATTGGTATAAGTATCTGAGAAAGATCCTCTTGCAGGAAAACATTGCGAAAATATATCAAGATGTTAGTGAAGTTTTAAATTATTTTGGACATCTCAATCTAAGGCCATTTAGGCCTCGGTAAGAACAATCGTACTGAATTTTAACGGATAGATGTATACACTATCATACATGTTTGAAGAGTGAGAAAATATTCTGCTCCAGCATTTTATACATTTTTTTACAAACAGAAAATATCCAAACTTGTTTTCTATTATCTGACTTAAGTTTTGGAAAAACAGAACACCTGTTGCCAATAATAAAAGCGTGTCCCTGCAATATTGAATCGAAATATTGTTAATACTTTTCATATGACAGCCAGAAGCAAGAGTCTCTTCTTACTTTTTAGTTATTGTTTATTTGTATACATATTTGCCTCATTAGGAATGGTTCAGAAGTATACTTTATAGTATGTGGTTTCTTTGTGTAGTTTTCTAATGAAACATCTCTTAATAGGGTAAAAGAGTTGAGTGAAAATTTTGTACTCAAAAATTGTGATTGATGGTGTGAGTGATGGTGTCCCTCCGAAGCATGGGGGGGTGGGGGATTCCCACTGATGTTACCTGCTCTGAATAAAGACCACTGAATCAGTTTACAATAAGACAATTGTAAAATAGTGATTTGGGGGTCTCCTGGAATATATTATTTTCAAAATGTGACTGAAGAAATACTTGCATTACTATATAACGTAGGAGATGGTGTGAGGTCTGCCTCAGCAGAATTTGCTACAGTAAGTTTTTAGGGGCTTACCCCCAAAGAAGAGCAAACCTAAAATGCCCAATGCTCTTGCTGTGGTCTTTTCCCATTATAAATACAGAGAGGACAAGCACACTAACGAAAATGGTAGCACTGGAGACTAGATTTTGAGTTTGTACATTAAAGTGCCTTCTACACTGAAACAGACAAAACCTAAAATCATTTTGAAAACGTAAGTGCTTTATAAGATGGCACAGTATGGGTTTTGGAACAAGTAGACCTCCTCCTTTCGCTAATGCCTCTAAATTGCATGTTTTCACATGGTTTCCTGACAACAGTCAATAGGCACAAGCTCAGTGTTGCCATGGCTACAAATTTCACCCTTCTTTTGGCCATTGCAACTTCCCAAATGGACTGGCTTTCTCTCTAATACTAAGTACAAAAATATAGATGTTTGCTATACTGTTTTTAACCGATCCGCCATCTCTATTTTTGCACGTCTTCTTGGGCTGCACATAGTGAGCCATGAGAAGGACAGGGGAAGGCTGGAAGGCTGGGCCCCCCAAAGAAGGAATGGGAAGGGGGGGGCGGGGGGGGGACTTTGTTCAAAGGCATTGTGTAAGATGGCCGCTAAGAAATTTTAAAAATCACTGTATGGAAAACAAAACACGTTAGTCTCTCTGACTTCCATGCCCTGGTTTCTCTTGGGGTTTGGGGCTATGTGCTGACTACTCGGTGTCTCGAGAATGCTGTTCTTCTTTTAAATGTGTGAACACAAGACGAAAGCCAGGCCCAACTATTCTCAGCAGCAAAAATCCCCCAGTCTTCAGCAAAACCAGAACTTTGCTCCTAGCATTGAGCTAGGAGAAAGCTCAGGTTGTGAAATGTTAGTTCAACCTAAGCATTAAAAAAGTTAAACACTAAAAAGGTTAAACCATTAAAAGAGTTGAACAATGCAGTCTTAATTCTCTGATGCAGTTACAATCTCAGTGCCACTGCCACATTTTTCAGGACAGCTACTCTTCTCTCAGGGGGCTATTGAGCATTCGTGGCTATGTTAGGAGAAAAAGCTAAGTTTACACAGGTAGAACAGATTGCAAGTATTTCACAGCACTGGCCTAAATCCTGTTAGCTTAATTTGCAGAAGTAATCCCACTGATTGTAGGACTGCTTCCATGAGTCAGGCCATTGGGATTTGGCCCATAAGATTTTATGGATGAGCAGCAGTTACAAGTCAAGTACATTATAACTGTAAGTAGTAGTTTGTATGGTACCACCCCTGTAATAGTTGGACAAGAAATCAGAACTGCCACTTCCACCAGACCTTTGCCAGTCTTCCACTATAAATAAAAAGGTAGTTTGACTTCCATCATCAAAACAGCTAATTAAGTAATAGGGCATAAATACTCAAAGAAATTGACAGTCTTTTCTATAACATGAATTAATTCAGAAAATCACCATTTGCATAAATCTCTAAGTCTCATCTTCACAGATGTTGATTCTGTCAGCTAGTTGCATTTCAAATTAATTTTAAAATAAACAGTGGGAAGTATACCTTTCAACTAAAAATAACTTGCTCCAAAGCAGATTGCTGGGTGCGAAGCACATACTCATTGTGCAGTGCCGTACTTTCTTAAAGCTAATGTTTTGTCATATACTGGACTTTAGTGTTTCAATAGAATGTTTAAATTATATTGAGAGGCCATTTTATATAACTATATGCTTTGTGGGCAGCTGGTTTAAATGGAAGATAGATTTTTATGACGTTAAAAGAATGTCTTTTCCAAATTATATCTAGTGCTTGTATTAATAAAGGGTCCATGACATAGTATTGGAGGTGTCTTTATACCTTGAAGGATTAATTAAAATATATCTTTTTAAAAAGCAATAAACTATAGTAATTTAGTGGGATTCAGGAGAAAGGATACTGCACTGGTTCAATATTCCAATCCCTTGGGTGTTTTTAAAGCCAGCAGTGGGGTGTCTTACTTAATGTAGTGCCCACCTTATACTTCAGCAAGGAGAGACACACCAGTCAGGTGTGACCACCACTGGCTCCAGACATGCTCTGAGTGTGGGGAAACAGCGACTGCCCAGTTTAGCTTCACCTGCCCTTCACGAAGGGGAGCTGAGAAGCGCTGCTGGGCACTGCTGGGGTGGCTGTCTTCTTCACCCTCGAGCACCACTGGCAGCTATAAAAGAGGCTGAATTCCCTGCTTGTTTCATGCATGCTCCTCTGGCTACAGAAAACCTCTCCTGCGCTAAAGATCTCAAATGTTTCCGTCTCTGCAGGTTTTGCATAGGGAGAGACTCAAGGTATTTTGCAGAGCTAGATAACACTTGCTGGGGTTTTGTTAGGGATTTTTTGCAGGACCCTTACAATGACTTTTTGTAAGGAAAGGAATCACTAATGAGAATCTGTAATTTTGTGCAGGGTAAGGAGCCTGCGTGTGCGGTTGTGAGGGGGCAGTAGTTCAAAAGGGGTCAGGTCTGGGGGAGGATCTGGCCACAGGTCTGCAGCATGCGAGTTACAAGCCAAGGTTACTGGCAGGAACATGCAAGTGGGGGACACTGCAAATTCCAGCCCCTGCATTTGGCCTCTCCTAACACATCAGACAACAAAGATTCTAGCTGACATAAAGGATTTACCGAAAAGTAGTTGCGAGCAGTTTTCTCTGCTGCTTCGAGTTTATGCTAGCCTTTGTTCTTTGTGGGATCTGTGTGTTCAAAGGAAAGGTTGGGACATTACATTTGGTCAGGATGTTGCTGATGTAGAAATTAAAGCCTTAAATTTAACTTTGTCTCCCAATGTGTGCAATTACTCACTTGGGTGCCTTGATCTGTTCTATGTACACCTTATCTTCACTTCTTGTGAGTGATTTGGACTTGCAGGATTAATCACCTCTGAAAATTTGATTAGCGTGATTTAATTCTGAAACACATCTGTAAAAATAGGTCCTTGGTCTTAGCCTAACTGTATTTATGCTTCTGTCTGCTTCAGAGTGCCACATAACAGAGCAGGAATCAGAAACCAAGCTGGATTCTGGTGTGGGGTTTTTTGTGAGAGCCAGCAGGCAAGTTTTTTACAAAGCCCTTAGCAGCTAAATGTTTGGGACCCCCTAACACAGTAAAAACGCACAGTTCTTTGTCTGAAAATGATCTAGAGGCAACATGAGCCAATTTTTGTACTTTAAAATATGTATTGTGTACAGTTCTGGTCCCTGCTATACAAAAAAGATGTGGACAGGCTGGAGGAGCTCCAGAGAAGGGCCACCAAGATGATCAGAGGACTGGGAAGCGTGCCATATGAGGACAGGCTGAAAGAACTGCAGCTGTTCAGCCTAGAGAAAAGGAGGCTTAGAGAGGATCTCATCACCACATACCAGTACCTAAGGGGTAGCTATAAGGAAGATGGAGACAACCCCCTTTTACAAGGAGTCACATGGAGCGGACAAGGGGGAATGGACACAAGTTGCTCTTGGAGAGATTCTGACTGGACACAAGAGGGAAAGTTTTCACAATGAGAACAGCCAACCATTGGAATAATCTCCCCAGGGAAGTGGTTGATTCCGCCACATTGGACACTTTTAAGGCTCAGCTGGACAGGATGCTGGGCCATCTTGTCTAGACCGTGCTCTTGTCTGGAAAGGTTGGGCCAGATGATCCTTAAGGTCCCTTCCAACCTAGGATTCTGTGATTCTATGATTCTAATGGACAGAGGAGTAAAAGCTTTAGTCCTAGGATCCTTATCAGTGGTCAGTGAAAGAGGGCCAAGCACTGGCCTCCTGGTACTGATACTGCTTAGTTGTTAACTTTCTTCCTGCTTCCAGCGAACTCTCTCTGAGGCAGTCCCTGGGCACAGGCAGGGGAATAGTTCTCTCTAACTGGGCACTCCAAAAAGGCAGTGCCTTTTATGCAGCACCTTGCATAACAAGATGCACCAGATTAGGTCGTCCCTGCCTTTCTGAGCCCTCCTACACCACCCCAGCAAACTTTGCACTTGCAGGCCCTCCTTTCAAATTTTAAGCACATAGCATACACACTTGATGTCACAATACAGAAACACTAGTGTGGCAAGCAATGCCACATCCTTATCATTACTTCAGGTAGATGGAACTAGCTCCTTGTCACCAAATATTAATGATGTGTTATGGCCATAGGGACATCACACAGGGGCAGGAGGAGATGCAGGACCAAGTGCTATATGCACATGGACAGTCTACTCTAGGGTAAATTGGCCTACACTGCAGGGCAGAAATCACAGCCTGGAGCAGACTCCCTTAAGGGTGTGGGTGTAGCCTTAAGGATCCTGTTTGCATTGGGAGAAACTGTCTAGAGAAGACATTGTTTTGTTTTAAAAGCTCTGCAAACTTGATAAGGAGCCGAAGCAAAGTACTTGCCTGTAGTTAATATTGGTAATATAAACCTGAAATCTCCCCCTCCTCCCCGAATAGTTTTGCTAGCAGCTTTAAAAATTAGTTAGAACCCATTTTACCATTTTTCAAGCACATAAGCTTATATATCTACGTGTTTTCACCTTTTCCAGCATGCATTTGGGCTTAGGGTAAGTTGATGTGAAGGGCTCTCCAGGCACTGGTTTCTCATGTGTGTGACAGGAAGAATCCTCCTCTCTTTGTGCCAAGTGCATTATTGTGTTAATCTGCTGTTGCTGGTGTGGCAGGCACACTCATCATAGACAAATACATCTTTAGCATTGCATCAACATTTCGAATTCAAGGAATCCTATTATCCAGAAGCTGTATTGTTTATGTCTTCAGCTTCTGACACTTTTTTGTTGTGTATTAAACTTCAGTAAGATATCAGCTTTGATCCTTGGTGTCTGCAAAGACAGTACTTTCGATGTCAGGCAAAAGCAAAAGAAACTTGTGCAACAGTTTGGCCTCACTGAGAGATTTAGGACTATCAAGATCCACACTTCGCTTCGATACTGTAGTCAGACTTCTGTGGCTGAGGCAGAGCAGAGTCCTCAGTGTCTGTGTGGGATGTCCTTGTCATGCTCACATGCTGGTCGTGTTGAGTTAGATGCTGGTCTGTGCTGTAGGCTGAGGTTGGTGTTTCAAAGGTCTAAGACATCTGGGTTCTAGGACTTATCTGGATTCATATGTTCCTATCACCAAAGACAGTTGGTTGAAACATTTCCATCATTACCTCTATTTCTGACCTGCACCCCTGGTCTGAAGGGATTTGAAAATGTTACAGGAACAGTTCCACCAGGAATGTTATTTACAAAATGCACAGGGAAAGAATCTGACTGAGCAAAACGGGTGGAAGAACTGCGCCCTTGCCTTGTATTGGTTAGTCTCTTCCGTGGAATGCTTAGAATGCTTCTGCTGTTAAGATAACATAAATGTATGGTCACATTTAATTATAACACTTTATTATAGGTATAGTTATAGAGAGGTAACACTAAAGAATAAGCATGATCCCAAAATTACAACACAGTATAACATTCAAAACAATGAGCTCTGATGCTTGGGATATTTCTCCTATTTTGTCAGCCCTGGAGGAAACCAAAAAGTGCTTCGTATGGGCTAATGGAGCTAGGACTATTCTTGCAAGTTGCAGATTACAGTTCTGTCAGAGGTTAAGCTATTTATTACTCCTTTAGCTCTGGAGTAGCATTTCACCTGACTTTACAAATTGAAATACATTTGTTTATTAAGATTTAAAAAACAAACCAAAACGGGTATTCTGCTGTGCTGAGTCAACTTGCGGAATGTGTCTCTAAACCCATATAATTTGTGAACTGTTAATATGTTTGTAATTCTTTTTCTTGCAGGCATTCATGTCAATGTTTCAGATTCTCACACAGGAAGGATGGGTAGATGTCATGGATCAGACACTGAATGCTGTAGGACATATGTGGGCACCAGTAGTTGCCATTTATTTTATATTATATCATCTTTTTGCTACTCTGGTAAGTTTTGATTTGCAAATGTGCTGTGCTTTTCTTTGTTTTGAATTATTCTCATAGCTCTTGTATCACTTATTTTTCTCAGCTAGTTAAAACTAATTGTGATGTTCATTTTCAGCATAGAGGGCTTTAGGATTAGTTCTTTGATTTGGTAGAATTTACCCTTCAGCCACGTGGCATAAGGTGGTGAGCCTTTGTTTTGGTGTGAGGTGGTGTTCTTCGTAAGATCCAAGTCACACTGCTGGACTAATAATGTAATTGTTAACTATCCTGTACCTTCACAGTTCTGATAATTGCAGAGTGAAGTAAATGCTTTTATTTATCACATAGAAATGGTCTCCTCAACTTCCATTGCATTCTCTTTGCAACAGTAATTAAAGTAAGAAGTGTAAAGCCTCAGGATGCAACCTCTTAACTAGGAATCACTGCTTTCCTGTTGTCTAATGCAAAATCAAGGCATGGAAAATATATGATACAGTATATCAAGCAATAGAAGGATGAGAATTAATAAAGCAGTTCCTGCACAAGAATGGCAATGGGGATTATGTCTAAATGCATATCTGTGTGCATTTCAAATGGGATTATTACAATCTTGCATAGAGCAAATGGTAAGGGAAACAGCTTTTTTAATATCCTAAATCAATAAGGGCTTCATACTGTATTTTGAGTACCAACACAGAGAAAATACCACAATAAGGGAAATAACCATTTTAGCCACCCTTAATTCACTCCTACTTTTGCTCATTTTTTATTTTGTGTTCATTGCATCCATTTATTCATATTTTCACTTTCTTCATTGCATTCTCTTTCTTTGCTCAGTTGTCTACTTATGTAAGGTACTAACTGTATTTATACAATCTCCATCAGTTTCCATCTACTTTTTTTTTTACCTTGTTATCTTTCATTTTTGAAGACTGAATGTTTAGTGTAATTGTGGATTCAGCAGGTTCCTTCACATGGATTGAAATCTCAACCACTTTATAAATAGCAGTAAAGGGCATTTGATTCTTTTAGAGCTACTTAACCAAATTGTAAGCCAAACAACTGTATGTATCAGCAGATAACAAAAGACATGTAATTTGCATGTAAGGATCACAGGAGTCCTTGGGGTATGGAAAAGCAACTTTTCATGTTGAAGTGATCTTTAAAACTCCTTGGGAAGTGGGAATAGAAAGCAAAAGGGAAGTGGGGTTTGGTCATGGATTTGAAAGCAGTTACTGGTTAGAGAATCTTCTTGCTGTTTTTCTGAATCTTTGCCAAGAACATTGTCTGAACTGGAATCCATTTTTATCTCTTAGATGAGCATTAAGCAAGTCCATAAAGTAAACTACTGTCAGATGGCCTCTGTGCTAAAAATTCACACCTTAAGTGAGAAGTAACTTAGCTGTAAGAGCAGTTTTACTGTTCTGTTTTATGTTTCGTCTTTTGAAAGAATCATCTGGGAGTTCTCCATTTGTATACTCAAAGCACTTACTTTGCTAGGAGCAAAGTCACTTTTCTGTACACCATCCTCAGACCTTTCACAGGGAATTTGCATTTAAGTACATGGTCCTTGCGTTGCTTTATGAGTGTACATATTTCTTCTCAATCACCTATGCAAATTCTACATGGGTGAAGAAACTTTGCTAAGACAACTTTGGAGAATTAACCTGGCCTTACAAAGTTGTTAGTTTCTATTCTAAGATCTTCCTCAGACCCTGGAAGAGAAAAGCTATGTAGGACAGAGTTGTCTGGAGGCAAAAGAAGCTTAAAAAATGAAAATAACATGGAATTGGTAAAGGAGCACGAAAACAGTTGGGCTGCTGCTAAAACCAAAAAGAAGAGTTCTAAGAATAAACAGCCGTCAGTGAATAACAAGAGCGAAGTCAAATGAAGAAATGACTTTCATCAGCCAGAAGAGGGGGGAGGATTAGAATTGAGAAGTGATAATTGCAGGCATTTGGCAAAGCAGACTATAGAGCCTTGGAAAGAAATGAATAGGTTTCACATTAGAAGGCAAAGAAAAGTTGAAGCTCAGAAAAACAAAACCTCTGTTGGAAGCAAGGACTGTTATTACTTGAGACAGCAGTGGAGGAAGTTAAACAAATAACAAGTTTGCGTTTAACTTTTATTTTGTGGTACATAGTCTTTGTTTCTTGTTGGAAAAAAGTGAAAAGGGAGTTAATGAAAGTCTTGATGCCTTGATATTTATCTGTGCATGAAGGAGCAAGGCTGTAAGTGTTGATACATTTAATGAGTACTATGCTTCTTTTCAGTGTGGTACTGTACTTCCTTAGCAAGTATGCTCTGAGCTGCAGGTACTGGAGTATCATAGACTGTATAAAGTATCTGAAGAAGAAAAACACCATACTGTGAAACCCTGACAAAACAATAGCAAAACTGTTCATTGGCAATTAGGAATCGAAGTAGTTTATGCCAGGGATTATTTATTTTATCAGAACTCTGTCTTGCTTTGCCATTCTGAAGGCCACCTTAACTTCCACTGTTCGCAGTAGCTGGATCATTGAAAACTGTATGAGGTACTGTTTAAGGCTGTGGCGTATATAGTATGTCTTTTCTAACAGCTGCAGGAAATTCTACATATTTCTAAAGCCAATTTCCTCTTAGAAGAACATTTCTTTTCCTGAACACTGACATATTATAAATTTATGGGTGGGAGTCCTTCCTGTGTCTTCTGTACCGTTATAGTTCATGGAGGTAAAGGGAATCCTGCTCTGGAACAAAGTCCAGACACCGAGCTCAGATGCAGACATATGTGTTGGAATAGATTAGTTCCAAACTCCTTGGCTGGTGTACTAAGCTACTTAAATTTCATCTTCCATATAGCTGGGGAATAATTTTCCAGTGTGAATGAACGACAGGTAAACTTACATTTAATTTACAACAGTGGTGGACAGATATGTCTACTCTGGTTGTCACTCAGTGGTCCAAGGCCACAGAAATATTTTAGGCATGTAATTCTTTTAAAAGCTTAGATTCCTTCCGATATCTCTAGGAAATTGGTGGTTGCCTGTAGGAGCTCAGTATGTTTGAGGATATTTGCCTTGAACCTCAGAGACTAAAACCTTGGCAATTGCTGACAGCTGCAAAGCTATGTATGTGCAAATGTACTGCCTTAAGATGTAAGTTGTCTGAGGACGTATGCTGAATAGTGGTACCCCGTCTCACCTACATCCTTGCTCTCCTAGTTCTGTCTCCTTCTCAGCTATACCAGTCGTATTTTCAGCTTCTTTGGCCTCTGGTCAGTATCTTTACACAAGGGAAATATAATGATCTGATGGGCAATTTTTTCCCCCTGGGATTCTTCCTTCTAGAGGCATATCTACACAATATTTAATATATAGTAAATGAAAGTGCATGAGTTTCCTATGCTGTGGCTCCCGATGCATGCAAATAATGAGGCAGCTTACTTTTCTTTCAAAGTGGAGTTAGCTACTTTGCACAGAGGTACTCTGAGCATTAAGCAAGTCCATAAAGTACATTAGTGTTAGCTGGCCTCTGTGCTAAAAATTCACACCTTAATGGAAAAGCACCTTAGCTTCACAAGCTGTTTAAAGATTATGCTTTCTGTTTCTTTTTTATTATTATTATTATTTCTGATTCATTTAATTTTCTTTTTCTGTGAAATGCATTTTGATGGGTATATTGTTAAATATACATAATGCATTGTTCATAAAACCTAGAATGTACAATTTTAAAACTCATAAAATAATTGTATGATAAGCTAAAAAACAATTTACTACTTGCAAAATGGCTAGCAGCCATATAGTAGCAGGTGATATTAGTTCAACAGATGTCAAAGGCAAGACTTCCATTTACATCAGCAGGACCTTCATTTTTCCATGTCATTTCGTTGTACTTCTTAAGCAAAATGAGACAAGCTTTTAGAAATAATTTACAATTGTTTTGTAGATTCTACTCAGCTTGTTTGTTGCTGTTATTTTGGACAACCTGGAACTTGATGAAGATCTGAAGAAACTTAAACAAGTAAGAACACGTTTTTATTGTGCTTGGATATAGTTTCGATAAAGTATTATTTTACTGGTGTTTTTATAGTAATAGAGGTGAAACATCTTCATCAAAATGAACTAAACAGTAGATGTTGAAGAGAACAGCAGTATTCTGTTAGTTGACCATCACACAATGTGAGGTAGAAATTAAGAGATCGTAAAAGAGACATAGAAATTGGTTTCAATATTTGAGGAAAGTAAATTTAGATAGTCATGTAACTAAAATAATTTTAAAATCACAGCTAGGGCATCTTTTTGCTTATAATCTAGTGAAGGATGTCCCTGCCCATGGCAAGGGGGTTGGACTAGATGATCTTTAAAGGTCCCATCCTACCCAAACCATTCTGTGATTCTATATGATACTGTATGAGCACACTGTAGAACCGCTACAAGGGAGACTACTGGCAAGGATCCACAGGCGGGAAGTGGTAGAGTGGACTAGGTTGAATGTGTTAGGCGAGTGCTAAAGGCGCTTGGCAAACTTAACTTGCTTGCTTGATTCTCCAAATTTGGAGACCAAGATTACCAAGAAACCATTCTGTCATGCTTGAAACCCCAAATGACAATCACATAAAACAAATGTAACTAGAGAGTTCGTGTTGGCCATTCTGGCCTTGTACACAAACCACCAGAGGGGACGGTATCAGTAACTTTTACATAAATATATAGCTATGTTTTAGTCTGCGCACAGAGGAGTAAAAACCATCAATGTTTTCCTATTTCATGCATGAAATAGCAAATTGAGAGCTTAATATGTGGCAACGTCTTTTGTAATATTTGGCTTATAGCCTTTCACCCATCATTTGCTGGTTTTGTTCATCTTCCAGGTGCATCAGCAACTGTTGTAGAATTATGTTCTTTCAGTTCTTGGAAAATAGTTTAGTCAATGTAATTCTTTTGCATTGAACTGTTACCTTGAAACTAATGTGCCAAATAACCACTCCCTTGTTTTTCCTTCTACATTATTTTTCTTTTAGTTTTAAAACTGATGTGTTTATTCAATTTTTTTTATATATTTGTTGTGTTCATTTTCTACAAACTTCTAACTTCTGGATTTAGAGACTGTATGTTTCATGTATGCACACTGCATATGTGGAATGTGTCAAACTAATATTGCTTCCCAATCTTCTGTTGCTTCAAGGCACTGACAAATGAGACTACTATGTAGTTAGTTCAAATTCTTTATAGAATTCAATACAGAAGTCAATATTGCTTTTTCTCTTGCAGTATTAAATATCAGTATGTACTGCAAACTTTAAGTAAGTTAAAAGGGCAGGTATTTTCTGCCAAAAGGAAATATGAATACTGGATTTCAGTTAATCAGCTTACATAAGTGAAACAAGAGATCTCATAAATGATTTGGGGATGGCCAGAGAGTCCTGAGTATGCAAAGTGAGAAGATCAAATCAAGTTTATTCAATTCTCTCCTTACCAGTTTCAAGAGGTAAAATGATCTGAAATGAAAATGGCTCAGGTGTATGGTAAGCAATGTCATATCATACTGATAATCTTACAGGAAAATTTTCATAATGTCTGTGTGAGTTAGGAGCACAAATCAACTCTCTGAAATAAGCTTAAGATTTGAAATCCTGTGGCTTTTCTGTGAAACTTAGAATCTTCGATTCATAAACCACTTTAAAAGTCTACACCTTTGCTTATGAAATGGCAGCATGACTTTGTGTTTTAGCAGCCCACTCTGGAACTGGTGAACAAAAAGCAATGATGAGAGGCCACCACTTGCAATGCTTGCCACTGTGTCAGCCTGAAATCTTGATAGCCTTTGAGGAATCCTGTCTCCATAATAGCAGTAGAGCACACTCAAGTAAAAGACATAAATAGAATATAAAAAAAAAATCCCTCAACTTCATAGCTTTGAGACTGGCAGCAGCATCCCTAGTTGAGTGTGATGCTGGGTCAGAGTAAAACCACTGCCTGAGTCACCAGACCTTCTAGCTACCATGCAAGTGTGGCACCGTGCTGACATTGGTAGACTGTTTCCATGACCCAAGTGGGTATTTAACCAGAGGACAGCACTTTGCCATACCAGTTTGGCTGACTGGCGTAATGGTATATGCATTATACACCATTATGATGTATGAAGATGTCCAAGGTGGATGACGCTGGTTCACTTTTATTTATGCTTTTGAAATGTTGCTTTAAACAGTAGCCTCTCTTCAAAGACTACTCCTCAGTACTAGTGAATGTATTGTCCTCTGATATTTTATCCAAACAAATTAATGTTATATGAAGTGTTGCATGTTTTAAAAATGCTTCAGGTAAGGAGGAAAGAGGTTGGTTCTTGGAGCTGAATCATATTGAATTACTGGAATGACTGAACAACTGATTAAGTGTCTGGAACAAAAAAGGTTTCCTGTGGGGTAAATGTGATGGTATCACAGGCCCAGTGCTGACACTGACTGTGCACTGGTATACTGAAATATTGATTGTCTTATCTCAGAAGATAAAGCAGAAAGTGGTTTTAGTTCAATGGTATTTTGAATTCTACACTAAAAAAAAAAAGAGGGCTGTAAGAAGAAGGAGGATTGTGAGGTAATTGGTAGGTTTTAATCAAGACCATTTCTATAAAGAAATAGATCTTTATTCCTGCACAGGAAAATTTTTGACATCTATAATTAAAAGCTGAATGGTGTTCCAAGGGAGGAGTCAAATAATTCAAACTGTTAATGTAGAAGACATTGATTGGTTGAAAATAGTAAAACGGTAATGCTCTCAAAAGTATTTCCATCTTCGTATTTGTACTTTTTCCCTGCCTATGGCTGTAAAGGTCGAGGCCCAGGGCATTTTCAGATGGTGAAATATTGAATGTTTTTCAAGGAAGGAAGGAGAATATATTTAGGCCAGAAATCACACCTAGCTAATAATTCCTTTTGGGATGTGTCCTTCTTAGTTATGATTTAATTCCTCTTCTTGAACTTGATAAGAAAATATTACTTATCTTTCAGATTATTGGGAAAAGACTAATCAGTTAATAATTGCAATGTACTCTAAATGTAAAATGATAGGTAAATACTTGGTATTCATTTCAGTTCAGTAAATGTGTTTAAATATGAATAAATCAAAGCAAAATACATTAAATTACTAGAAGATTTAGGAGATTATAAGTAAGGTTTTAAAATAATGTATTTAAAGGCTACTAAACTTTTAGAATTAAATTTGTCAGTGCAAATTTAGTTAAGGATATGCAACATGATTCAGTTTTTAATTACATTATTACATAATATTCTTTCCAAAAGTCTGGCCTCATTTAGTGCAAAGAGTAGATAGAGCTCACTTTAATAAGCCACTAGTCGATATTTTTTTTCTTTATTGTACAGTGTGTGATCCCTGTACATTATTTATTGCACAGTATTCAAGCTTTGCTACAAAGACAAAACTATTAATCTCTTTCTTGACTTTTTTATGGTACCCCTCATAAGTATCTAGAACAAACATAAAACTTGTAAAAGATAATTTAAGTGATTTACTTAGCACCACAGGCACACATAGGAATACGATCTGTTTTTCCAAGACACCATTCAACTGGCTTAAGATCAGAATCATCCTTTGTATTCTTACAGGTCTGTTCATTTGCGATTCATTCCCATCCACTGCCAAGTCTCGTCCTCTCGTCTATGTCTGCCATGATAGCTCAAGTCAAGTGAAAAGGGATTGTACTATAACGCATAGTCACCATCTATCTGTGCAATAAACTTGATCCTCTGCAGCAATCCAGACTGACCCTAACACACTTCTTTAACCTCCACGTATGAGGTTGGTCCTGCTCATCTTCCCATGAGGCCCCTTTCTGTGGTGTTTGGTGCATCAGTTGTGCAGATGATATTGATCTTAGGCACAAGAAATCTATCAGCTACAATCTTAACTTCCTTCTCTCTTATTCCTGTCTTCTCCACCATCTCCATAAACTGTTGCCCCAAAGATAAAAAGAAACTGAAAGGATTTCTTTGATTTCTTTTGCTTTTTGTGATAAAGTTTGGACTTTCTTTTCAGAAACTCAGCACTCTAACAGATTGTGAAGTATGACTTTCCTTTACAGCTGCTGTGTTAACTTTTTCTCATTATATTTCCACGTATTTACTAATTCTACTGTTGCTACATTTCTATCAATTTGCCTAGATATGAAGTCAGACTGATCAGTTTCTAATTTCCCATGCTCCATCCTGAAGCCCTTTTTTAAAGTTATTCACATTTGCCACTTTTCTTTCTCTAGCTACTGAGTTTATTCAGGTGAGAAGTTATTCACCACCGCTTGTATGTCAGCATTGTTATAGCTCAGATCCTTTAGAAGTCTTGAGTGAGTGTTATCAGGTCTTGGAGAGTAACAAATTGACCTTATGTCCGTTATCTTCCAAAAGCTTTTCTCCTGCCATTTTTGCTGGAGATTAGTCTTCCGCGCAGTTTATCGTCTTCTTTGACCTCCTCTGTGGTCGACACTATTCATTTTGCTTTCTTGCTTTGGTTTTATTTTTGTGAACACTCTCGATTAATAGTCTGTTGCTCTTTTAGACTCTCTGTGGATCTTGTTGATTTCTGTATGTTCTTAAAAGCTTTCCTATTAGATTTTATTTCTAAAGTAGTCCCTCAAAATCTTTCATGATCTGCTGTATTACTGTTTTATGTAAAAAAATTGCCAGAATTTATGCTTTTTTCTCTATTCTTTGCTTAGGATATGGCTTTCCTTTCTGAAGCATATCCATTTACTTTTAAAAGCCTTCTTTGCACTCCAGTTGACATTTCTGGCCTTTTTGACCTTCTTGAAGTTTTTCCGTAGGTGGTAGATGTATTCTGTGCTTCTAAAACAGGATATTTAAAGTTACACCATACATACCCCCCTCACAGTTTCTGTCATTTGGCCGTTCCTTTAAATTTCTTTTCAAAAGCTTTGTGATTTTATGTAATTCATTTTTTAATTTAAATTCAATGAAGTAGGTGCTTTTGACCTTCTAGTTGTAAAAAAAA